GCAATTAAAAATTTTAGGGAAAACAGAGTTGCGGGAGATGTCGACTTGAATGCCTATATTTTGGATGATGGTAAAGAAGAAAAAACACCTGCCGGTTTTCAACAAGATTTATATACTCAATAATAATTGTCTTTGCAACTATTCTTCCGGTAACAGTGTAAGGAATGATGTATTTAAATTACGAAAGACGCGTGCTATTCTTTCCATTCCTTTGTAAATAGGTTTTCTATTTATTTCACTTATATCATCGTTTCTATTTCTATGAGTAGCTCCCATTTTCTTCATTTGTAAAATATTTAGTACACAATTTTTAAAATTAAAAATTGTTAAGACTGATTTCTTTTTATTTTTATGTGGCAAATTTTGCAATTTCTCACGTGGTTATAAATATTGACACAAAATCATAACAATGATATTTCACAAGATTGTGCTTTGATATGCAAAAACTGCGTATATTCTACCTTCTACTCAGAAAGTCACAAATAACCTTTATGGTTGAGTGTAAAACTCAAAATTTCCGTTAATCCCAACCTGAACCTGAACCTGAACCTTTTTCTGAAAGAGGGTATATTGGGTAATCGGTGTAATCACCAAACTGGATCTTATCTTGCACATCATTAACCAATGAATCACCTGTAAATACTTTATTATCCAGATTTTCATGAATATTTTCTTCATCGTATTCTTCTTCATCCATGGATTCGTGAAAAATATCCTGCATGCTCAAGTTTTTAACAAAAAAATCAAATACGTAATCAATCACAGAAGTCGTTACATATTCGTTATATTCACAATCTATTTGGGGGATAATGCAAAGTATAATTATTAATCATCGAGTTTAATAAATTCTTAAGACTATGGGTCTAATTCATACTAACTTGCCGATAAACAGATACAGCCGAACCTTGCATCTAAGATTTCTTCACCGACAGGCAGATCAGACATGAGCCAATTTCGACAGTTCTGAAAAGAAATTTCTAATTAAATATGATAAATAACCTATGCATAGATAGATCCATAAAAGTGCATTCGATATACCTCACGTATCCAAATTTTCAATTGATTGGACTTGACAAAATCAATCGAGTGCGTAGATGCCGCAAATTCAATAGCCATTAACCTATCCTTTAACTCTTCAACTGAGTTTAAAATCCAAACATTAAAATATTGTCACATTTTTCCTCCATAAAGATAACAGCTTACAATATGTTTGTATAGCATCGACAGCACAGTGCCCTCCGTAACTGTTGGCAACAATAAATATTTTTTGTGCAGCGGATGGTCTAATGAAAATAATTGAATAATCATATATGTTTTGCCAAAGTTTAAAGTTCAATAATGAACTTACAAAATAATATTCTTAAATACGTATTGCGTATGAGATTCGGGTGATTCATTTCCTATTAGTAAATTAAATATTTTAAGCGAGATATAAATTTTAAGGATGTATCTCTTTTAGTTTCTTACGGAAGAAAGCTTATACCTGGGATCGAATCAAATTCTGCGTTGATTTTTGGTAGGATGAGCTATATGAAGACATTATAATGTGACTCAATAAATTAATCGCGTTCATGTTATACGATTATATAACAGCTTACCACTCCCTTTCCCTTGTACCAGAATATTTCATTTGGGTTACAAATTATAACGGCAAAACCCAAAGATATAGCGCGTTTGGTATAAGTGATCATCGACCCTTCCTTGAAGAAACATTGAAATTGAGAAAAAAAACAGAATAAAAACACTCGGGCAAAGCTTCCAAACATACCAAGACCGATTTATCAAATAAAGCTCTTCGTGACCAAATACCAACCCTAGGATAGATCATAGAGGTTACATCCTTTCGTTCAGGTTCAGTTGCACTACTATGAATTTACATACGTATTAGATGTCCCAGGAATGAAAATAACAATCTTTTCGTTTGATTGATAGTCCGGACTAGAAATTATTATGTTTATTATTAGGATTCTATTTAACTGAAAAAAATTATCTTGATTGATCCAAATTGCATACGTCACATAGATTTTTGTGTGTATGTCACTTTCATTTGTGCCTAGTGGTAGTAGCAATCGTATCATTCCTACTTCGTTTACAAGTTTATCTTCAATCCATTCTCCTAATAGACCTGGGTAATTAATATACAATTGGAAATTTTAGGTGTTTGCAGTATTTATTGATTAAGTACTTTTTAACAGGAGGAACAGTATACCAACGATAACTTCATATAATGCATCATTGTAAGCCTTTTCTTTCACTTCGAACACATAAGGTTGATCGTCTATTGACGCGAGACAGAATTTGCGTTACAATAGAGGTCGCGTAAAAATCTGGAATAAATGGTTTACCCTTTATAGTTTTAAGTTTCCCGTCAGCGTCAATATAATAGCCAAGTTCAGTGAGATCTCTAGGAATGTCATAAGTAGGCTTTTTTGTCTTTTTTTTTTTGAACATTATTATAGTTATTGACGTTATAGAATACGAGTTGTTAGTTTATATATTCAGTTTTTCCGATGTGATACAAATTAATATTTTATAAGTCGTTAAGAAAAGATTAAATATAATTGGCTATCACAGTGGATAACTATTATTATAAGACACCTGGCACGTCTTGACACTGGTTCTAAGACACGTTTATTAGGTATTCTTAGTGTCATTGCTTAGTTATAAAAGTGTATAGAATGCTTGTAAATTGTTTTTTAAATTTTAGCATTTTAGTTAATACTTTTTGGTGTTGAAACAGGAAGGAAAAATACAATCTTATATTAGACTTTTTTCAGAATGTAGAGTTTATAAAATTACTGTAATTATATTTACTATTATTATTTGTTAAATTTTCTTTTGTTTATGTTAAAGTTTTAAGTTCAAAACAAAAAAAAAATCTTGAAAATCAAAACCAATATTTTTTTTTTATTATCGACTAGCAGGGCCTTACCCTACGGTAATTTTATTTAGTTCACATATGTATCTTACATGTTATTACAGGTAATTACTATCTATGAGCTATTCTAGCCTACCAAGGATTATTATTGGATTTTACCCCATATTGGCTTTTTGCTATTGACTGCCATCTCAGACGAGTCAAGGCTAATGTGCATATGCTCCATTAGTATTGCTATTTTATATTAAGTTCTATTTCTAACCAGAAATATTTAAGAGGAAGTGAAAGGGGAAACTGGGGAGTAGTACCTATTATGGCAAATAGAACTCTGTAGAGAAAATCTCTAATCCAAACTGGACTATCAGTAACTTGCAGGAAGAGACACCAGGTATCATGGAAAATGGATCACCAAGCCATCTTTTCTGAAACCGGATACCTTTTATACCATTTTGTTGTTCAACTTCTGGTGATCATCGTAACACCAACCAGACAATCGTCGCGCCACGACTCCTTTTCTGGAGATCACAATCTTAATACCTATTGGATTGGCATGTGAAATGGCTTCTTATGAGAAATGGCACGTAACTGATTATGGTACTGGATACCATATTAATTCTGTTTAATCACCTTTACATGGGATTGAGCTAGTATCTTGTGATCTGACCTGTGGAGCACTAACCACTGTGCTATAGACCCACAGGTCTATTGCAAATAAATATAAAATACAAGATTTTATTAATTAATATTAATTCTGTTATTATATTAAATATTATTTAATACTAGCCTATTGTATATAGAACTTTTGAAATAATATTATATCAAGTAAATAATATTACATTAAAAGTGGTTTATAAATGGTTTATTTATTATTATTTTTTTTAAATGGATAGGTATTTGTCTTGTTTAACTTTATTAAAATAATTATTTGAGATATAATTATATATACATGCAAAAAATTATAAGAAGTCAATAACTTTCTTAAGATATAAAATAAATTTATTAGAATTGTTCCATCATGTGGCTTGTTGCCTGTCTTGTAAAACAAAACATTAGAATCTTCTTAAGACAGTTAACCTATCAAGGTATTATCAATACCTGTGAAATAAAGACTAGTTGTAAAATTTTCTTCTATGTCAAATAAGTATTTAATATAATTGATTATATATTTGTTAACTATATGTAAATATCTATCCTTTATCTTTTGATTAATGGAAATTTCTGCTTTGGATTTTTTGATTGGTATCTAGAATCTTTTTTGTTTTTTGTTATTTTTTATAATCATATCTTTTATTAATTATATATTTATAGCTATCTACATTTTTGACAATATATATTATGGATCTTTTTCACTTATGTATTATTATAATATATTTGAAATTACATATATTAACAAGTGATTTACATATATGTTTATAATAGATCTATTTATATATAAATAGCTATATATCTATTCTATATAATACTATATTCAATTATTACTTTATTTAGAAGAGGTACTTAATTCCTTTTACTAAACTCAAAAAAATGTGTGAATCCTTCTTAATTTTTTCCAGAACAATTTTATTTATAGTAAAAGTAGTTTGATTATTAGGCTATTGAATACAATATCCTAAATCCTGGTTTTCAGTCCTTCGGAATGATCCATGAATTTCTTTTTCTATCAAGGCCTCACGATAATAAAGTTTTGAAACCTGATATAGCTACATACTTGATTAGACAGAAAGTTTACCAGCAGTTTTGATTTGTTCTTATCAGGTCATGTAAACTTTTTCTGGCCACCAATGGTATACTATTAATTTGGGATCTACTTTTCTTATTACCATTTAATAATGAATTATATCAAGGATAATCCTATTCGATTTCAAATATTTAATCTGATCACAATTAAGGATCCTAACGATTCGATTCGATTTTATTTTTGAATCGATTTTTATATATTTTAAAATCAAATCAAATCAAATCAAATTGAATAAAATTAATTCAATTCAATTCGATTCAATTCCATTTCATTTGATTTGATTTGATTTAATTTGATTTGATTCTATTTGATTTGATTTGATTTGATTTGATTCTATTTAATTCGATTCGATTCCATTCGATTTGATTTGATTTGATTTGATTCCATTCAATTTAATTTGATTTAATTTCATTTGATTTGGTTTGATTTCATTCGATTTTATTTTATTTGATTTGATTTGATTTGATTTGATTTGATTTGATTTGATTTCATTGAATTTCATTTCATTTCATTTATTCAATTTAATTTAATTCAATCCAATTTAATTTAATTTAATTTAATTTAATTTAATTTGACTTTATTTAATTTAATTCTATTAAATTTTTATATATTGATATATGTTATTTTTAT